AAATGAGGAAGAAAATGATTAAAGATATCAAAGTTCAAGAGAAAACAGACTCACCATTGAACTCAAAAAAAATAATTTGCATTTCTTCTTTTCTCTTTGAATTTAGCAATATTTCTCCCATTGGTAATTCGAGAGAAAGAACTTGACAAGATCTACACTTTTAAGAGGCAAAAGAACGGAACTTCTAGTGATAGTTTACCTCATCAAAATTTAAAGCTTTCTGAAGAGGCTAGGCCTCGTAGAACTCATACGGATGACCGCGAATCCTTGGAATTCATGGAAAGCTGGCCATTATCATCTGAAACCCCACCATCATCATTATATACCTTGCTGCTGGAATCAACACCTACACCGTGAAATGACTCCCCAGATACTAATGCTTGAAGTAATTTTGGTGGTGGTGGGACTGTTACTTCAACTACTCCTTCCAGCATTTTTACCACCATTCCCATTGTTGGCCTAATTGATTCATCATCCTGGATGCACCAGACTGCTACCAGAGCTGCACGCTGCGCCTCTGCTATGTTGTATATGTTGCCAAGCCTCTCATCAACCACGGCAGCCACATTACCTTCTATAATTTCACGAGCTGCCCAAGGTGGAAAAAACCATTTTTCTGTTCCAACCCCTCCACCGCCACCAGCTGAAGGTGGCCCCTCTACATTGCGCCTGCCACCTAGCAATTCCAGTAAAGTCATGCCATAGCTATATACATCTGCTTTGGTGGTGATCGCCACACCAGAGATCCACTCAGGTGCAACATATCCCCACGTTCCTCTCATGGTGGCTAACACTCTACTGAAGTCCCTACCAATCAGCTTTGCCAACCCAAAATCTGACACTTTTGCTGAGAAATCTTCATCTAACAAAATGTTCTCAGGCTTAATATCACAATGTATTATACAATTTCGACATTCCTCGTGTAAATAAGCAATGCCTCTTGCAGTACCAATCGCTATACGAAATCTGGCATCCCAACTCAAGTTCTTACCATCCCGCCTCAGATACACACTGAGAGGACCATTTGGCATGAAATCATAGACTAGCAGCCTATGAGAATTTTCAGAACAAAACCCCCTCAATCTAACCAGATTTACATGCTGAATATTCCCAATTGTGCAGACTTCTGCACGAAATTCCTTCTCTCCACCGCCTGGTTTTTCAAGTCTCTTCACAGCCACTAGTGTAGAATCTGACAGTTCCCCTTGGAACACTGCCCCAAAGCCACCATGGCCAAGCTTATCTGAGAATCCCTTAGTAGCAGCATGAAGCTCTTTATAGGAAAATACCTTCAAATTTGTCACTGGAAAAACACCTTCCTCTTCCTCTTCCTGCTTCCTTTTCTTAATCCTCCTCCTCCTCCGCAGAAACAACAATACGATTACTCCTATTACTAGAATCACTAAAAACCCGCAAATTGCTTCAAGAAGTACAAGTTTCATCTTGTTCTTCACCTCAGCGTTGTTTCCTGGCACCCTTAAGTAAAGTTTTTCCTCGAGTGTGCTATCAGAAGTAAGATTTCTAAGATTCAGGAGTGAGCCATACAAGTTCTTGCACAAATTTGCTCTCTCATTGTAATGCAAACCAATACATGAACAATTTCTTATACACATTTTCTCACACTCACTCCTGGTTCCAGTAAATGACAACACCACTGCTCCCTCATAGCTCACCACACCTGCATCCTCAAAACCATCATTCTTACCACAAACATCACCACTTTGGCGGCGACAACCATTGGAAAAGTCCCCTGCATCCCATGAAACATCATCTACTGGCTTAAACCCCATCAAGCAGCTACATGGACTTAACAATTTAGCATTACAGAACCCAAAATTCCCACACAATGCATAAACTCTACACAAATTTTCAGGCTGTGACCAGAACATGTTCCAATACTCACTCTGAGGGGACCACGTGAATTGCTTCAATTGGCCAGTGTGGTCCACCTGGAACCTAGTAAGAGGTGGACTCAAACCATTATCCAATGATACCTCCGTATATCCAAATGATGCCATAGGAGTAAAGGGGTTGCCAAAATGAAACCTATAAATGTAAGGAACAGTCATTTCCGGCACCCCGGAAAATGCATTTCCAGTCCAATTCCCAGTTGACCAATAAATATTAGTACTATTGTTATCATTACTAGTATATACAAGAGCAATCTCACCGTAATCAAGTGGCATCAATCTCAGGGAATACTTCCCAGGTGATGGATCATTGGAACTCTTCCAACAAGTCAGCAACTGGTCTGCTGTCAAGTTCATGCCAGGAAGCCACGTGTCAGTTGGATAATCAAAGCTTTGCCAAACTTTGTCACCATTACTCGAGTAAAGCACTAAATTTCCCTGCTCCAGAAGCCTTGCCTCGATTGCTTTCTCAAGATTGTCACTTTCCCAAATAATGGTTCTTGAATCTTCTTCCTTCAGAGCTAACTTCCCATCCTGAGTGATTTCCACACTAGCTGAAGTTAAATTCTTGATGGGATTTTCCCTGTTTGCAACCCAAACATAAGTCGGGGTTGGAATTGAAGCATACCATATCCCCAAGTACCATTTGGACTCATCATCAGTACGGAAAAATCCCAACTCAAATGTCCTGTTCTCACTGAAAATTGTGGTATTTCCAGCAAGTACAAGACGGGATCTTTGCAAAGACTCTAACTTTATGCTATCTTTTAACCTTCCCCTAAATTCTTGGCTGGTTTTAGATAAATGGGACGGCTTTACATCCTGTTTTCTTGATTTTAGTAGTTCTGCAGTGGTGCTGAGGGCAAATGCTGTTGAAATCAGAAGCAAAGGAAGTATGAGAGATAAAGTTGGCATTTTTTTGGGAATTTTAGTATGGTTACGCGTTAATTCAAGAAGCATTCTTGGAGTTGAAATGCATTGAATTAATTGATTGAGTGGGAAGCTTTGCTCAATTACTCAAGCTGCAGCAGATTACGAAGTGGGTATGTGCAGAGTTGAAGAGGAGGAGGGAGCATGGGGGAAAGTAATAAGGAAGGGAAAGGGAAAGAGCAGAGAGTGTTTTGTCTCTGATATCTATCTGAAAAAGCTACCACATTTGGACAAAGATTGGTGGTACCTATACTAGTGGAGCTACAAAAATGCTCTCTCAAATCACGGGGCCTTGTACATTAATGCACTTTTTTTTTGGCCATGCAAGAAGGGTGGAAATTTTACCAGGAAAATAAACGAATTATGGACGTGATTATAGCTCATAAAATTACGTGGTATTAACATTTACTCGTACCAAATTATACTTGAAAGCATGGCTTGTATGATAAGACTATAAGTTGAGGAAAAGATGTTTTTGTTATCTAATTAATTTACTCTGACTGAAATTTGAAGAATTACACAAATAATAATAATTAAGATTCATTAGGCAAGACTCACTCTTTATGAAGCTCAGATTTCAAATCCTATGCATAATAATTAGGAATAAGGATTGAAAAAAAAGGAAAGGTCCATTTAATTTAAAACATCCCTATTCGATTAGTAAGTCGAACATGGGTAGTGGGGTCCTGTTAAGACTTTTGAGGGACGAGGGGGCCCCATGGGCTAAGACCACGAGAGCACGAGTCCATTTAAACAACGGATTAGATAGGATGCTGTCCTTCTCTGGTTTCAACACTTTGACCTTTGTTCGGTTTTAGACCCGAGAAAATGTGCCGATTCTGGTACATTGTTGACAAATCCCACCATTCTTCTAATAAAACCATTTTCATAGCCAACTAATCTTTGGATTCTGGAAGTTGGTGAAAGTCGGGACGATCCTTTTCAGGTGGACGATTCTTCTTCGTATGCTCAAATTTTCTTCCAGAGGCAGGTGTATACTGTATAGCTGTACTGGTAATCACTCTAAATTTCTCGAGCACTGCTATTATTATTATTATTATTATTGCTTCAACATATAAGCTTTCTTTACTTGAAGCTGCCCAAGAAAGGTGTTTATACTAGGAGAGGTACTATCAATCGTCTAACACCATGCCAGCCTGTGAAAATAGTTGAAGGAAATAACAAGATGAATCCTTATACAATATAAATATAAGAACGGGTCGTGATCAAAGCAAATTTGAATTTCAATCGCATAAATAGAGATTTTTTTGAAAATGTGGAATGTTACGTAGTTTTTTGAAAACTTTGGTACAATTGAGAACAGCATGTGTTTATACCGAATACCTTCATTTTGATACATTTAAAGTTTTGATTTATGGATACATCTGGGGAATATGAAATTATTTTGCAACTATTTTTGCATTGAGTACAACTCATATAAGCTTATGTGTTATAATTACTGAAATGGTGTTATAGACACATTTAATTGAAGTATAGATTTTGTTGTACAATTAACACAAAGACATAATAACACGTTGTGCAATTCACATGTTACTAGAACTAGCCATTGGAAGATATTCCTTTATCTAAATCAATTTATGTCTACTCTTGCACGATTTTCAACTAACATCTGTAAAAGGATCTTTTGAGAATAATAAAATTGTAAAAGCATTGATAAAACAAAATATACAAGTGTGTGCTGCAATTAGAATGTATTATTATTAACTTTGTCATTTTTTATGACTATTGTTTTCCAAAATGTACTATTACTTATCTAATAAAAAAATCCTCTCGAATTACAAGCACCAAACTCCCGCACAGGCGTTCCTCCGTGGTATGATAAAAGTAAACAGGTTCATGATAGCATGAAGCCAAATTGAAGGAGCATTTTACAGATTTCTGTCGAGCTTTTTTTTTTTCAGTTTTTTCTGTCACAATATAAGAAGTACTAATCACATCGACGCTAGCGCATTTTTCGGTCGCCATTAGGGTGATCAGCTTTCTCGACTTTACACAGGTCAACGTGTACACGTTATTGTATGTTATATACAACTCAGTTGATGCCCAAATCCAAAGAAATGTGTCAATCAAAATCTCAAAATGTCAATTCAATTTTCAATTTAGCCATCTAATATTATATAGTTTTGCCTCTTAAACACCTTAAATAACAAGAATTCAACTTGGTCCGGGTATGAAATCTTGAAACCAGTCAAACGAAGCAACATGGCTGAATGCATGTATCATCCTAACTGATATCAGAAGATGAAATTTGTACAGCATTATGTCAATTGATAAACGATAAACAGTAGTATCAGAAGGATTAATCCATGAGAAATCGAGTAATGTCAGTGATCTTCCAGACATCAAAAGCAAAAGTGACTGTTTCTCTCGAGTCCACGACCATGAGCCTGAGTTTGCACCCTTCAACATCGCTCATAGTTTTCTCTGTACAGGATAAAAAGATCAACCAGCTACGCTGTCCTTCAATGCATAAAATGCCAATCTGTTAAAGATATGGCATCTGGTGTCCTAAAGTGAAAGGAGCTTCCTTCCTTCCACTAGTGCCCCTCTTCTTTCACGTTAATAGCTCCCCAGAATTGAGATGCCTTCCGAATTTGATCAAAATATGAACTTACATTGACATTTCAAAATATGCACATAATGCACAGAATTATTAAGAATTATACGAAAATGAATCTCTTGGCCACCCCACCCCATGGTGTGGACAAATTAACTTCTTAGGCAACCCTTCAAAATTCAAGTTGCCATGCCTTGACATCTCAAGGCCAAGACACTTCAATCTGATGGCATCACAAAGCTTCATAGATCATTTCCTGTCAGAATTGACAAGAAACATCATCTTATGTTGTTGCACATTTTCAACGGTAAAATAGATCGGGCCAATGTCGTCTGTTGTCAGCGACCACGACGACTAAGACTGGTATCTATACAGAAAGATGCCCCCACCCCCTTAGCCATTTAACTACTAAGCGCTAGTCCTAAACAGTTTAAAATAAACCATAAGCAGCATATTTGATATTAAAAAGAATCAATTTTAAAAGGAAGCCCTTGAGTTGCTTTTGAATCAAACTGTGTATTCAAATTTTCAACAATTTAGAAAACCAAATTCTTTTCCAGTTTCAATAAGCTGCACATAACTTATTTGAGCTGTTGAGAACAATCCCAAAGACCCAAAAATATCACTTCCAGTTTTTGGAAACATGTTTTTACAGAGAAATGCTATCAGAGTAATTAAATAGACTGTGATGTATAAGGAAAGGTAATAAAAAGACCTGATCACATATGGGACAAGTGTCACTTCTTTCCATCCACTCCAGTATGCAAGAGAGATGAAAATGATGATTACATTTGGTGACGATTCTAGGATTCTCCGCATCATAATCTGCAAGAGAAAATGCAAAAAAATTAACCTAGCAGTGGTGAGCTACTAAAAATCCATGAAAAAGAGTGATGTTGTTACTGTTCCCCAAAATTGCTGTTAGGCAAATAAAGTGGTGCACCTTCAAGACATGTAGGACAAACATCAGCTTCTTCATCTGGAGTCAATGAATTTAAGTGAGGGCTTGATTTCAGAAGCTCATTTCCAATTTTTTTAGTAGTGGCAAGAAGGAAGCCAGGTTCAGCTTTCAAATCAGATTCTTTATTCTCTACAGGTATATCTGTCTCAAAGCTGCTTGCATTGCCTGGTTCTCCAGCAGAATTAGAATCAGTTGGTGGACGGCCCAAAACCACATCAAATGGAATAGGTGTGGGTGGGGATCGAAAAGTGTCAGGAATTGATGTATCAAGATTCAAATCAACCAGGAAACCAGCAGTGAGTGCAGTTGCAACACTGTCATTAGAAGTCAGGGACTCGTGTTCCTCCGACACGGATGGGCACTGCACAAAGAAGTAGATCTGAGACTCAAAAAACAGCTACCACAAAAACGAGGATTTCATACTGTGGATTTGCTTTTAAAACAAAAAACACGAGAGCAGAGAGACTTGCAGCATTTGGAAATAAAAGACCTCATGAACTCCCCATAGACAAACATATAATCGGAGTTCCATGGAAGAACTGTTCACTAGAAAGTTATAAAGACTGTTTAACATTGCCACGTCCCTACAAGGAGTCAAGACTTGGGTAGCAAGGCACCCAACACTTTTACACCATTTGCACATTTTTGGTTGCCCCTTTTTCATTTGGGGCATGTGTTGGAGAAGGGGTAGGGGTGGCATTCATGTATAAAAGGAACCGGGACTTCTAAACTGATGAATTCATCCCACTCATAAGCACTGGTAAGTGCTCATCCAAGTTTCGTATAAGCGGATAACCATGAGAACATATGGCCACGTACAGTATATTTAAGCAAACTAAAGTATCCAACTAAAACGGAAAAATACTAACAAAAGCAATGGTGCTATGGCCTAAGTAATGAAGGAATACGTAAACCATGTGGTATCAGTTCTTTCAAGACCAGTCATGCAAACTATTAGGTCCACCAAGCTATAAAAACAAATGCACTCAGTGTAGTGATCCAAGTGCAAGAAGCAAAGTGAATTATTCATAGGAAATCTCTCCCAATAACTCGGAGCCTAAGAAGATGATTCTGACAAGGTAAGAGAAAGTAAGCTGTTGTCTAGATAATGGAAGTAATTACCCACATAGTAAAATACAGGAGTTCCATGAAATTGAGGCTTGCGGGAAGAACAACAGCAACCTCCCATTTCCTGCCTATTTGTTTATATCACTTAGTAAAAGGAACATGATTTTCTGGTCACCATAATGAAAATGAGAGTAACTGCTACAAAGAATAAGAACATACCATGTTAGGCCTGTGAATCAAATTAAACAAGAATTATAAAGTTGCACTCTTGCGGCAACAATTCAAGAGGGTGGGGGACAAAGAAGTAATGCACAGAGATGATCAGCAAGAGAATCTCAAGAACCAAGTGCATGGATGAAATTTTTGAAACTTATAATCTTGGAATCAAGATAACTGTAACCCTCTTTCATCAATACCTTGTGAAAACGTGACGCAGCCAGATCCACCAGGAAAAACTGTTTTAAGTACAGATTCAGTCCTAGATGTTCTTACTTCTACATCAATGATTGAACCACCAAGACTGCACCAGATGAAGCACCTAACTACTATTTTTCAGCTTGCAGGTAACATGAGAATGGTTATTGATGCAAAACTCAACGATCTTCTAAAAAGTAACCAAAGCAAAGCTCTTACACTCAAAAGGAAAGGAAAGAAGTACGGAAGAATCATTTGTATATGATCAACATATTTATCATGTCCACCTCGTATGATAAGTACCGATTCAGGGATGGTAGAAGCATGATTAATTATAACTATTTATGGTAAAGGAAGAAGTTAAGGGAGATAAATGCAACAAGAAAATGTGGTAATGAAAACACCAAGGCTAGAAAGTACATTATAGACCTTTGTTGGATCGTACCCACAAGAACGTCATAATCCAATTCAAGCAAAATGTGAGACAAAACGTTCAAGTTCAAACATTTATAAGCAATACATTACGTCCGCAGAGGTGAGCAAAATCCAAGAAGCAGGGAGCTATGAATACACAAGGCCTCATCGTACATGGTCATGGACTTTAAAGCACCATACTTAACGTAGTAATGATACCTAATAGATTAACGTAGTAATAGATTAGGTAGATTGGCCTTTCTTTTACTTTCTTCAGTTTCACCAAATTCTAAGCACTTGCATTTCGAATTCTCGATACAACTACAATTACTTGAAAAGTCAATTGATAATGTTCTGGACCACAAGCAGGCACTCCATGGTCCAAGAATTCCCTGCTCCTTGGAGTCCTTTTCTTAACAGCTGAATCAATAGGGGATACCACCCCACTTAAGTTGTTATTTATGAACATTTACATTTCCTAATGAGCTATAGCTTCCCAACCGCTTCCACCAAAATAAAGAAAAAAATAAGTTATGCTACGATGATTGGTACAAACAAGAATGACACTTTCTGTCGCTGTACAACTGTTGAAAGAAAATTTTTTCCAGCTCAATCAAGAATAGCAAAAGAAAAATATCAGTCAAAAGCCAACAAAGAAGTGAGAAGATACAAACTTTCTCCGCCATATAGCCACCCCTGTCCCTCCTCCTCCTCGCCCAAGTCCCAGGGGGAAAAGATACAAAAAGAAAAAAAATGGAAAACTAAAAAGGATGAACATCAAAATTGCATAAACAGAAGACATTGAAAAAGGCAATTTCTGGACTACAAAGTTCACTAACAGAAAATGTTCAAACCATCAAAGACTTGTAAAAATATGACCCCAAAAAAAAAAAAAACACAACCCAGGCCTGAACTCGACATAAAGAAGTGCATACTGTACAAGTCAACTTTACCTTCAACCAACAAACAGAGACTGGTGATGGTGGGATGCTGCTGAACGAGTGCTGCTGACTGAAAGGGTCAAAAGGGCTGCTACTGTTGACGCTTTTTTTTTTTTTTTTTTTGTAAGTTTTATCTTTCAGGTCTGCAAATGAGAAGAAGGGATTAATTTCATGTCCGACTACTATTAGTATTTTCTGTATTAGCTTCAGCAAACTTTTCTTCTGTTTTTGGTAACGTATGGGTGGCGAATCTTTATCAATTTTGAGAGAGAAAACAACTGGAGGGAAGACCTGAGAAGGGAAAGTTGAAGGTTGTTTTTTCAGAAAGTAAAGAAATGGGAAATTTGGGGAGCGAGCGTGGTGGCATATTTGATGTTTGATAGTCCCTGTAATAATGAGCAGTAAGCACGATGACCACTTTCTGTGAATAGGTATTAGGTGGGGTTAGTGGCTGCGAATTGTTTCAGTTTTCAACCCAAAAAAAGAAAAAAAAAATTCAAAAGCAACTGATGATGCGAGCCACGGATGAGAAAAAGATGGTACAGTAGTTTTCAAAAGGGTGGCGTCGCCCGGACTCGAACCGGAGACCTTCAGTGTGTTAGACTGACGTGATAACCAACTACACCACGACACCGTTTGATTCGAACACGTCCGTAATTCATAATAGGAATATAACGGGATAAATAGTAGGCTCGATTTCAACTTTGAAGCAATATCTAAGTAAAAGTGTCTATATATATATATATATATATATATATATATATATATATATATATATATATTCCAAGGATGGTATTTTATTAGAAGCCACCACGCACCCTCACAATCTCAATCCCTTTTTTTTTTCTAGAACTTTAAAATTATTTTAATTTAAAAATATTTAGCTCCGCAATTTTGTTACAATCAACTTGTTTGAAATTGTTAGTTAACTTTTCATGATGTCCAATTGCGGTGTGTATTTAGGTAACCCTCATCGACTCTTATCCTTTTTCACCATTTCAAATTTACGCGTCACTTATCCACTAACTCGGAGCACTGAAAACTCAAATCACATCTATAAACTGAAGGCGCCATGCCAATTACAATTCCTATAACTCTATAATAATTAACTGATAACACAAATCATTCATTCACACTCCATTCTGATTACAATTCCTACAACTCTATGCTAATTAACTGATAACACAAATCATTCACAACAACTAATGAATACTTACCACTAGCATTCTGACCCGTACAATGCACAAGTTTATATTTCAATTCAAAACAATATTAACGTATATACTTATATATTATAGTATAAGGGGTTTATATTTCAATTCAAAACAATAAAGTTGAAACCAATTTTTGTTTACCTATTGTCTGTCAAAATATAACAACACTTTGAATATAATAATTTACATGATAGAGCAATTGTAAACTTATTTATCAATATATCATGTTATACCCATATATCAAAATTTTTAACATTAAAAATACAAAGTATAACTAGTTCATTTCCTTCATTTTTATAAAATTTTGCTCCCATCTTGTAATTCTAAAATTGTTGAGTGCTTATAGAATAAGGTTCTTCATAAAATTTAATATATGTTTAAAACAATCTTTGTAATATGTGTTTTTAAAATTTTCAAAATTATTAAAAATTGCCACTCTTCCCATCATCTCTTACGTACTAACTGGCTATTTACTACCTTCTATTATTTTCAGATCTCTTACCACAATACCATCTTTCCTATCATATCCCCACAATCCCATTCTTTCTTCTCCCCTCTCTTCGTCAAACTTTGTAGTAGTTTTCCTTCCTTTTTCAACCTTTTTCACCACTGATTAACTCATTGCTATTCTCTTTCCCTCACCTATAGCTAGCCTCTAACTTCCTATCCTTGCCACCCAATTTCCTATTATTTTCCTCTCACCATTCTCCCAAACCCTTTAAATTCATAATTTGTTTTTTTGCTAGTAGTACTTTGTTTTTTATTTAGTGATTTGATAATTAATGATTCACAAATGGTACCATTCTTGATTTTTTTTTTTAAAATCCATGACCAATGAATATTATTTTCTTTTTGTTTTCTATATAATTTACCATTTTAGTTAGGATTACTAAATTGAAGGTAAAATATTGATATTTACTTTTTTACTTTTAGTAGGGTTGGTGATGTTTCCTCTTTATTTATCTTTACATTAATAGATTTCAAATCAAATTCATATATAAGTGGGTCACTTCTTACTTTTTAAATTCAAAAGACAAGAAATGATATATAACAATTTAAAAAATTCAAAATTCTATAAAAAAAAGAATGAAGAGTTATAAGCATTCTGATTTAACCATTCTAAAAACCCTTCCTGCAATACATATATATATATCTGTATATGTGGATGTCTTCCCATTTTGTTCCCTCACCAAATTTATTCTCATTCGTCATCCACCCAAACCAAAAGGAGGGAGAAAAAATAATATTACGTGTCATAGCCTAATCAAGGAGAAAATCCACCTATATGTCAATCAATTTACTATTATAAAATTCCTAATCACATATGCTATATATAGAAAGCTCCCAGGTCTAGGTAAATTACGCCAAAAAACCAGTTCAACTTCTCGAAGCTGTGGGCAAAATGACTTGGTTTGGAAGCAATTCATTGTATAGGTACCTATTCTATTTGTTAGTCAGGCAATTTAAGAATTTTTAGAAATTTTAGGGCCACAATAGGAAATTTAAGAGAGCATGTTATGTAAATTATCCAAAATGACAGGCTGCAATCTAGTCGCAAACCAAATTTGGTTGGAGAGTAAAGGGAACAGATTGTATGGAAAAAGGAGGGGGAAAGAGAGAGGGCCTGGTTATATGGCTAGGCCTGTCAACGGGTCGGGTCTAGACCCGGATCCGGACCGGATCCGTGAAATTATTGCGGGTATGGGTAGGGATTTAATTCCGTTTTCCGGATCCGGATCCGGATCCGTTTTGTCAAACAAAAAAACGGGTCGGATACGGAATATAGTATTCCGACCCGTATTAGACCCGGATCCGGATATAAATGAATTAATAATTTAAAAAATATATATTTATCAATATAATTTGATTAGGGTGATGTATCTTAATAAAATTAATTTGATTTCTTTTCTTATTTGGTTTTTTCTTTGCATTAGTTAGAAATTAATTTACAAATATATTTTTTTCTCATTTTTATTAGAAATTATAAAATTTGGTAAATTTGTTCGGGTAGACCCGGATCCGGATCCGGGACCCGCCGGATCCGGATCCGGAACATAGAATAAAAGACCCGTCGGGTAAACGGGTCGGATCCGGATCCGGTATAGTAATTCGGGTCCGGGTCCGGAATAATGAATTCCGGCCCGGACCCGACCCGTTGACAGCCCTATATATGGCTGATGAAGAAAAAGGTGTTAATGTGTAGGTATTTTGGTGTGTCTGTTTTATGGATGGTGTTTGATTTTTTTTTTCGTTTTAGTGTTTTAGAGAGGGTTACTATAGATATATTTTGGTTATTCAAAGGCAAACCAAGTTAATTAGCCATCATACTAAATGCACAAAATGCAAATTATCATAAAGGAATAGGAGCAGTACAATTATACAAAATCAATCACTAATTGTTGTAATTGAATTAAATTTATTTTTAATATTTTAAAATTAATGGGTTTGACTTAAATATCTTTTACTGGTTATTAATACACAGGTCTAGGATTGCTTTTTATATTTTCTATGGATCGAATTATTTTATGCACAATATTATGAGTAAATCTTATATATATTGACAATGCATACACTATCATCGTTGGATCTATGACACATGTGCACAAATTGAATTTCAAATTCAAATTTTATATAATTGTCGTTCATCCAACGCTGATAGTGTAGAAATTATTATATTGACATATAATAGATAGATCAAATTTGACTTGAAATTACCCATATATGTAAATGTACATAAATTTTTCTTATGATCTCATAGTACCGTTTTTATTTTGTGGAATCAGAACATACAACCTACAGTTAAAAATTAACCCAATGTTAGAAAATAATTAACACATTCCACTAAATTGTTTTTATACCTTTTTATATATAATTTATTTTCATAAATTTGGAAATAAAATAATACCTCTTCATAATTGTATAAACCAACTCATACCCCAAGAAATTTTTTTGTGTGATTCCCCAAAGTCTAGGTTGTTTGTACGAATGGCAATTGGGGTAAATACCCGCGGGAGGTTAATGGGTGAGGCGGGAAATAAAACTCATCCCTCATTAAAAAAAGAGTTGGGGGATGAGATACTATACCCCCGCCCTGTCCCCTGCTTATATAAAGTTTATATATATATATATATATATATATATATATATATATATATTATTAGTTATACTAAATTACTAATTACACTTTTACTAATAATATATTTTGGCTAATTATAAACTTTTTCCGGGTGGGGGGAACGGGTGACGAGGGCCGGCGGGTGGGTCCTTTGCCATTCCTAGTTGTTTGGATTGTATTTTGTAGAGAGCTTTTGGGGAAAAAATTATCGTAATATTTTGGGATGTGATATGTGTGAAATGAAGAGTTGATTTGGAAATATGTAAAAAAGTTATTTACTAAAAATAGAAAATTTTTCTCCAAATAAAATAGCAGTTCAAAACAACACCTGATCGAATCTCATATTGAAGTTTCTCTAAGTAGCTCCTCTAATTTATCAATGTTTGATTACTAAACTTTTTTCTTTGGGGGGTGTCAATTGAAACTTGAAACTCGAGCATTGTTTTCTTTTTATAAGCACAAATTAAAACACGAACGCATCAAAAGCCAACGACTATGGACATGGGCTTAATTGAAAGTTGAAACAATCTTAATGCTACTCTGGAATTCCAAAGGGAAAATTGCACTTTTGAGAAGGGCCATACCTGTGTATTGTGTCAGGCCAAATTGAACTCAACCCTTCAAGCTTTCACAGTTTTCAATTTTGTGATTCAAACTTGAAGCGCAAAATGTCTTTTTTGACTGAAACTTGAATGAGACATTTTAGTCGCAATTTACCATTTCTATTTCGATATAATCCTACGTTGTCTTGCAAGTTGCAATGAACATTTTGTACATTCTCCCGCCAGTTTGCGATGATCAAATGCCTTTCCCTTTCAATCCAGGCCGTCCTTTTTAAAAGACGGTTATCCTTTCTAACCACTCCCTCCATAACTAGACCTCGCGGTTCACTTCCAACACGAGAATCTGCAGCTCGTTCTGCCTGTTCACAATTAACCCATAAGTTTATCTCCAGTGAACTGAAACACTCAGCAAAATTCAATCTTTTTCATCAAGGGAAACAGCTGCATGGCCAAATTATAAAACTGGGATATCAGAATATGCTGCCATTACAAAATCTGCTCTTAAATTTTTATCTCAATTGCAAATGTGTATCCAATGCTCATCAGGTATTCGGTGAAATGATTGTTAGAAACATAATCACCTGGAATACAATGATATGTGGCATTGCAACCGAGTTTAGCTATTTCAAATCAAATTTTGATCTAGGTATTTGTTACTTTGGCAGAATGTTGACGGGAGAAGTCAGACCAGATTGGATTACGTTCAGGGGTCTATTTCGTTTGTGTGTAGATACTAATAACGTTGAGATGAGTCAAGTGTTGCATTGCTTTGTAATGAAGTTGGGCCTGTGTGATGATCTTTTTTTAAGAAGTGCTCTTGTAGATATGTATGGAAAACTTAGGCTTGTTGAAGAGGCTAGGCATGTTTTCATTTTTATTAAACAGAAAGACTTGGTGCTTTGGAATACGTTAGTTTCCTGCTATGTACTTAATTCTTTTGAGGATGAGGCACTGAGACTGTACAAAGTAATGAGGTCTGAGGGGTTAACAGGTGACGAGTTTACATTCACAAGTTTGCTTAATTCTTGCGCTAGTTTTGGAAATTGTCAATTGGGCAGGGGCATCCATGGGACTCTAGTTAAACTTAGCTTTGATTTGGATGTTCTGGTGGCTAGTTCACTTGTTGATATGTATGCAAAGAATGAAAGTTTAGTTGATGCTCGAAAGGTTTTTGATATGATGATCTCAAAAAATGTGGTTTCTTGGAACACTATGATTGTTGGTTATGGACAATATGGTGATGGGGTTCAGGCTATGAAACTTGTTAACAAAATGTTTCAGGAAGATTTCCATCCGGATGAGCTGACTTTGGCTAGCGTCTTCATTTCATGTGGTATATTAGCCATGGTTGGTGAAATCACACAACTTCATGCATATACTGTAAAGAATGGTTTGTCATCTTTAACATCAATTGCTAATGCAATGATTAGTGGATACTCCAAGTGTGGTAGCATTGTTTCTGCCTTGCAAGCTTTTAGGTCAATTTTAGAGCCTGACCTTGTCTCATGGACATCTATGATTGGAGCCTATGGATTCCATGGTTTTCCACATGAAGCTACTGAACTTTTTAAGAGGATGTTATCTAATGGTGTGAAGCCAGATCGAATTGCATTTCTTGAGGTTCTGTCCTCCTGTGGCCATGGTGGATTGGTCAATGAGGGGTTACGGTACTTTGCTCTGATGACTGATGTCTATAAACTAGTTCCAGATCCAGAGCATTATGCTTGTCTTGTTGATCTTCTTGGAAGAGTTGGGCTTTTGAAGGAGGCTTTTGATGTTTTGACCTCAATACCAGTGGAACATTGTTCGGATGCTATGGGGGCCTTCCTTGGTGCTTGTAAGGTACATGGGAACCTAGGATTAGCAGAATGGGCAGCTGAAAAGCTGTTTACTTTGGAGCCAAAAAGGGCTGTAAATTATACTCTCCTGTCAAACATGTATGCTTCAAATGGAGCCTGGTCTGATGTAGCCACAATTCGTAGATTGATGAGGGAGATGTGTTATCCTAAAGCTCCTGGTTGTAGCTGGATGGAGATTGCCGGGAAGGTATATTCATTTGTCTCAGGTGACAAGTCCCACCCGCATGCTAGAATGGTTTATTCCATATTGGGACATCTTTATGAGCTAATGAAAGTAGAAGTGAAAGAATCCACAGAGATCTTCAATTCGTTGTTCTTAAATTGAAGCATTCTGCTGATTTTGTGCCATTGTTGAGAATAAGTAGTTGAAAAGTGACTGTCCATTGGAGATTGGTTTATATCTACCAGTACAAACAAAAGAATTTGCAGGATTTATAAGGTAAAGAAAGCTCTATCTTAGAACCGCTAACAGAGCCTGCAAGTCAGAAGCTTGAAACCATTTCTGGTTAACTAAATTCCATCACCATGTTATAACGTGCAGTTTTCATAGTGTTGGATCACTTTTTATGCTCGAGGGTGCATGAACTATCACTTTTTTCTTCCATATTCTTTACACATTCGTCTTATTTTGTCATATTGGAATCATTTATTCTTCTGACTTTCTATGCAACTTCCAGTTCATCTTTTTTCATTTTTTGTACCTTCCATTATGTCTGCTGACTTTCTTGTGCTTAACAATTACTTCCTGTTTTGATCAAATATCTACAAGCATGACCTCATATGGAAGCGGATTCCCTTATATTTTGTGAAGGAAATACAATAGTAAGTTAAAACTAATACTGCTTTACTCACAATCCCCTTTCTGTATTATGATCTTGTAGGTGCCATGTATTTTGCATTGGCCCACCATTAAGAGCTGGATATCCTGGTCCTTACATTCATGTTATTTGTGACAGACCCGATACTTCCACCTTTTTCTTAAATATTCACTACTAGTTAAAAGCCAAGGATTGGCTCATGTGACTGATGATCTCTTTTACGTAGTCATTTTCTTGGGCTGTAGAATCACCTCTAGGTATTAACTGTGTGCAAGAAGATCCATGGCAATGGATGTTCCTCAGGATTTGAGGTTTACTTCTTCTGTTCCTCATAGGTGGCATTTCCTTGCGAGCTATTACAGTTGCTCATCATATATTATCTATTACGGGAGAGGAGATATCCATATCAATTGGGCTACCATTGTTGTTTGTCTTTAACTTCTTCACGTCTTTTCGAGCCAACTGCCGGAGTTCCCTTTGAATCTTGATTATATTGCCAACTTGTAATTTCTTGAATTGGTTTGCAAGTATTACTTTCAACTAACTGTGATTTTGACAGAGCTAATTGAGACCCTTGATCTGACAATTCCATTGTTTGTTTTTATTTTCCACACTAATCAAGGATGAACCAGCTATTTTCAGAACCTCATGTGTGTTTTGAAGCTTTTTTTTTTTTTTTTTTTTTAAGGTGTTGTGAAGCTTAATTATGTAAAAAACGATGGCTCCAATGTAATTGGCCGACTCTCATAGCGTGGACCTTTCTTTAAGGAAATGCATGCTATTCCAGAAGCATTTATTAGTCTGTATTATGTCAAGGCCTGCTCCTTTTACTTGGGTCTCTGTCTTCCCCGACAGCATAGTAAGTGGTTGACTTTGACATTTTGCTAACCTTTGGGTGGGTTCCAAATGTTTTTGCACTCAACCGTGTACGGAAGAATAAAGAATTGCAAATACCAGACTTGCAATATATATATAAAAATATATATATATATATAGTTATATAGAGAGAGAGAGAGAGAGAGAGTAAAGACAAATTTATTACTATATGCATCAGAGAGAAAATTTTTCATTGAGAAGGCGGCAGTTTGAAAAGTAAGTCCAGAGAACAGCAGAGCAGTGCTCGTGGAAAATGTTCTAAGAAAAATAGAAGGCCCAGCACCAATCAACGCCGGGCAGAAAGGGAGCAGATGACTTGCCAATGCATTTGTTTACCAGATCTCCTGTTTCTCATGTAGCAACAAAAAAAATTATTATTGGTTGGACTTTTAAGATGGAACTTTTAGCAAGTGATCTAGATAATCCAAACTCCCAAGTCAAGGTATCATTTGGCTCCTGTGCCTGATGCTAGGTCTTGAATGATTTGTTTCCTGAATTGGAAAAAATCATGCTAATCCGAAAAGGGTTTTCGACCGGATTGTTATTTTTTAGAGTTTTTATATAAGAAAAAAATTATACCGTAAAGATCAGAGATAAATGTGTTCAGAAGAATACATATAAATCTTTTAAGAAAAAATAATGATCTAAACAAGATAGCGGACTTCTAACCAATATGGAAATTGCATCATAAATTGAATAAAGTTACAGAAAAAAAATGCATATATACATCTTGCAAATGCACAGAGTTCGACATGAAAAATCTGTAAGAATCATCATCCTCTCGGGGGATCGGTGGGGCCCGCTCTCCCCGGGCGATGGGAATAGTGGCACAGACGGTATTACCAGTCCGGAGTAACCGATACCCAGCGATAAAAAAAAAAAAAAAATCATCATGCTCTTGTGGATGGTGGCCATGTCATTATGCTGTAGCAGTAAGATGTTGGCATTCAAATTGGGGATTAAGCAACTGAGAAATCAAGTTGGGTTCTCCAATAATTGCCTCGGGAACATGGGTCCCCAGTTGATACTTCTTGACCTTTTCTAAACTGAAGTCTAGAAATTCGGCTTTTATAAACCTAATCCCAGAAGAAACCTCAAAAGCCGGCAACTCTTGAGGTCCTTCCAGGGACTTATAAACCAAACCCAAACCCCCCCCCAAAACCGATGTGGGATGGCAAACCCCACAAGGGCAAGCCAGTAAGGCCGCTGCTGCTAAGAAGTAAAGACCCCTCACGACACTCAGTAAACTACCCTTGCATGAATTTGCCTCTTGACCTTTTCTGGTCCCCAGTTGATACTTGAGAGATGCAAATCTATACAAGTTTCAAATACAATCTGCACATGATTGGCCCGCGGCCTCGTCCGCCCACTAAACAGGAGAACAAGTGTTATTAGGCGGGCACCGCTTTGAGTTTGAGTTAATCAAGAATAGCACATCTTCAACACAAAACTTGGCAAATTTGCAACTGACTACTGCTGGTTTTCTCAACTGCAGGTGACCGCCTAATAAGTAGTGACAGCAATCTTCTGATTTGACAAATCAAAGCTCTCATTTATTGAAGATAATTGTGTGGATGGAGTGCAAGATATCTCCAATCTAGCCACAAACATCAATAATCCAAAAAAAAAAAAAAAGGTATCTATTCCTAAATAAATTTTTTCGTTTCTCACTTTATAATAAGATTGAGAATTCCATAAGATATATCTATTTTAATACTACTTATATTTTACATAAATATAGAAACAGGTACGGGATACAGATTCTTTAAGTTATAGAGCTAAAATTTTGTTAAGGTTTTGCATTCAAGGCAATCAAATTCATATCATATTTTGATCCATATCAACTGAAAAAACTATCTAAAAATTCAATCTGTAAGTTCACTTTGATCAACTAAATCTATCTATATTCATTTTTAAAAACATTTTTTAAAGGAAGAACATCATCGAAGGGAGATGTGCTTGGTGAGTTTGACCTTAGTTTAATTTAGGAACTAAAATATGGTAAAAACAAATATAGGTGGTGTCATTATGAATGCCCTTAAAAAGTGAAGGACTGCTAGAGAAAAACAAAAGTCATAATAGTGGTTCAAGCAAGACCAATTATATCTTCTACTACGTAATTTCTTGTACAAAGCTCTTACTACAACTGCCCGCCATTTTCTAACGCGGACGAGAGACAGCCATGAAAAGTCCCACCTCACACCACCCTCGCCGCCGGTGGGACCTCTCTAGCTCCGGCTCAGCTGGGTCCGGAACTCCCGACCGACCAAGTATTTCCCCGACGTCTACCTACTCATCATCCTCTAATTCCTCCAACACTAAGTCAAACTCCGACAAGAACCCCGTCAAGGTCGCCGCCAGGACGTTCGCCGGAGCCTTCATCGCTTGCTTCACTCCTCCGGAGAAAGTCGAGACTAATAATAGTTTAGGCAGCTTTGGTAAGTCTGCTGCTGATTTTACTACTAGTATACTTCTCCTTGACAAATTAAGCTTTTTTATATAATGGTACTACTATTTAAATTACTCATGTGTTGACCATAGTTTATTGGAGTTGACTCTGAGGTCTTCAAATATCGGATAATATATGGGTTTTAAGAGTGATTAAGTGCTTGTGCTTTGTGAAGAGCTTTTTTTTTTCTTGGATCTTGGGAGATTTAAGAAAGTGTTTTGAGGATTATGGGTTGGATTTCTCTTTTTTCAAATTTGATTACTGCCATTCTAGAAAAAGAAGAACATTTTGACAAAATTAATTAGTCTTGTTGGACCCTTCAATGTCTGGACGAAGAAAAACCAACTGCTCGAGAGATGTAGTAGTACTGCATTTCACCTTGGTTGAAACTTAAATAAGCTGATTGCAGCTTGATTTTTTTTTCAGGAAAAACAGAGGACGAATTTTAAGGCAATTTAAGTCTGCATCTTTATTTTTCATAGTTGGTTATAAAGGACGCATCTTTGGATGTATGTTTTCATAACTTGTTAGAGCAATCCCTTTATTGAGCAACATTATAATGTCTGACATTGTATTTTTAAATCTTTGAAAAGCCAAAGCAATTCACCTGTAACTACAGGCATTTAAGAGAAGCACTTTTGCTGAACTTTTCTGTTTGTTTTTTAGTTTAGTTGCTTTTTCTTCTTATCTTTATATTCAGAGAACACTTGAATTACCTGGTAGATGATCTTGTTTAAGGCCTTATCTGCTCATGTTAAATCAATGTTAAGAACTTGAGAATTAAGAGCTCCCTTGCACAATGTCGAAATCAAAGCTTAGTCCTGTGGTCTTTTTTGTATTCGGATGCGTCAGATGCTTCTTCCGGTTCTGGCAGTGAGACGAGACGTCGAGGCATTTATGCCACTTCAAACAATTCGACGCACGCCAGAGGGTCCGGGAGAGTAAAATTCACTGTGGATGAAATCTACAAGGCGACCAAGAATTTCTCCCCCACCTTGAAAATTGGACAGGGTGGCTTTGGGACAGTCTACAAGGGCCGACTTGAAGATGGAAATCTCGTCGCTATCAAGCGTGCTAAATCGGTGCATTCCTCTGCAATATTCCTTCCTTTCTCTGTGTTGACCTAGTAAAAATTGTCCTCATTGTATATGATTCCTACATGTTTCTTGTAGGGTGTACATGACAAGAATTCTGGAGCTGAGTTTCGAAGTGAGGTACGAACCCTGGAGAAAGTGGAGCATCTAAATCTAGTCAAGTTTTATGGATATTTGGAGCATGAGGAGGAAAGGATTATTGTTGTTGAATATGTTCCCAATGGAACCCTTAGAGAACATTTAGATTGTAAGTTGGTTCTCTCCTACTCTGTCTGCCCGTCTTTCGCTATTTCTGGTTTTCCATTTATACGCTAGTAGATTTAACTAGCGTCCATATCTTCTTTCCTCTTGCGCTGATATTTGTTAAATCCTTAATTGCTAAAATCCCCTGCTATTGACTGGTAATATAGGTATGCAAGGGAATGTACTTGAATTCGCTGCCCGACTTGATGTCGCAATAGACGTGGCTCACGCTGTTACATATCTGCATATGTACACA